AAATGTTTCATTACTAGATAACTACTTTCGACCTAAAGGAAAAAGCTGAGAGGCGAACTCAATATAAGTAGAGAGTTTATTTAGGCCAAGTTTGAGGACTGTAACCTGAAAGCTTAGATTCAAGTTGCACAGAACATATCTGAACATATACTCTGATTACCAGCAATTACAAGTAAGTTTATAAAAGGAAAAGAAGAGGCAATTCCTAAATTGTTTACCAAGAATTTATGTTAAAATAACATAAGTTATTAATTGGCTATATGCTGTTCTTTGTATCCCAAATTCCACAAATGTGAAGATAGTGGATAAGGCAGCTAGTCAGGGACAAAATGCCTTTAGACAATTACCCCCAGGTGTGGGTTGGGGGAGGCATGACTGAAGCCCATACTCACCTCTCCCAGGGCCTGGTAAATTTTGCATACCTCACATAGCTCAAACTGCTCTGAGCTATTTTTCTTTTCTTACTACAAACAATTTGGTTTAGACAATGAAAACCATGCATGTATTTTCTAGATGAGGATGAAACATGTCTTTACTTTTTCCATAGAGTTCAGGCCATCGTAAGTCAGCCTTGGATAGAGGTTGGGGAGTTTTTGTTTCTTTTTCTCTCTCCCTCCCTTTTCTCCCTTCAGTGTTTTCTACCCCTCTGTCCTCTCCTCCAGGGTCTGGTAGATCCTGGAAGAGGGGCAGCAAAGCCTATAGCTCTCTACAGACATAAACTTGAGTCTTGTGGGCACAGCAGGCCATCTGGCCTAGACTTCAAGTTCACAAAGAGCCCTAAAGATTGACATTCAGCATTATCTCAGAATTCATTTATTCATACATTGTAAAGATGCATTGACACAACTGAAAAAAAAAAACCTCATTCATTTTAAACCGGAGTTCTATGACTGGAATAAATATTTTTTTATGAATGGCATAATTATTTTGCAACAAGCATGCAACATTGTATTTTATATCTGTGTGTGATTTTAACCTCTAGAAACAAGTTCATATCATTCAACTCAATATTTGAAGATATTGATTTGTTGAATATAAATATTTTAAAATATATACAACCATGTTTATATTTCTGTTATGGCATTTCTTCACTTTTTAATATATTGGAATTCTCATGTCAACCAAAAAAGCATAAAGAGATTCATAATTTGGAGAGGAAAGCTTTATTTCTCATAAATGGTTACAGCCTGTGGATGGCCATTCTGGCAAGATGGAAAGCAGGGACCCAGGCCACGAGCCAGGAAATCATGCCTTGAGGCAGGGACAATGGGAACAGGGTTTTATACTGAGCAGAGTGGCCAAATATATGTATTCAACAAGCTATAGCAGAAGTCATGAATATTTACGAAAGGCGAAACCTGCACCTGCGCAATGGAGCTTTCTGCACTTCCATGAGGTCCATGTTCAGAAATGGCCAGACGCTATGTCAAAAAGATAAAACAAGGACACAAAAACCCTCTCTGTGCATGCTCTGCAGACTGTTTAAAACCACTTCATGGTTGGTTGTCTTTTATCAAGAAAGAATGCTGGTCTGGCCCTTAGGAAAAAAAGCCCGATGGCCATTAGCAAGGCGCGGTGTAAAATGATGTGTGTCTGACCTCCCATCCTCTCATGGCTGGGAACTCAGTTTTGAGGTTTCCCTGGGGTCTCCTTGGCCAAGAGGGGCTCTGTTCAGTCAGTGGGAGCTGGGGAGGAGGTGTTAGGATTTTATTTTAGTTCATGCTCAGAAAAATGGCCTGGCTAGAAGGAAGTCTCCTTTATCCTCCAAGAAGCCCAGGAATGAAATATCTACAAGGCAAATCTTTCTCTTGCTGATAATAACCATCTTTGATAACATTTGTTCAATACATTTTTGTGTTAAAAGATCTGCCCCCTTTTTTAAACAGAGATAAGAAGGGGAAGGAATAAAAGGGATATGGAGGGCCCAACTCCTGTCATATATTATGCAAAATTATAATAATCATGAGTAACCTATTTCACAAATTACCATGAACATTACATGTGATAATATACTGCAAAGAAACTTTAAAGAGCTAAAAGTACAATCACGAAAGGCAGTGTGCTCCAAGGACCACTCCTAGTCTGTGAACTCTTTGTTTCTGGTCCATGGTAACATAAGTATGAAAAATTGAGACTAAGCATTTAGAAACTGTTATAGAAATTTGACAAAGTAATTTTATGTCTGTTGAACCAAATAATAAAAGATTTGGGCTTGTATTTTGTATGTCTAATTTTTTTATTTCATCTTCCCGTAATTCATTTTCATTGTGTTTTACAAAGGCAAAGAAAAACCTGTCCTTCACTGCTCATAGTTGGAGAAGCATTAATAAAAAGGTATTATTATTTCTGAAATTTTGCTAAGGAACCACTAAATGTCTAATTACAAAATAGTCACAAGTCATTATTTAAGAAACACTATTTCATATGTATAAGGCATTGCCAGCATACAAACAAGTTCCAGAACAAGTTTGTTTTGTATTGAGTAACTTGGTTATTTGGTTGGTAGTCTGAAACCACTTTTCCCATGAAACAACATAAACCGGGATGTTACATTCTTGGTGTAGCTTATAAATCTTTGATATCTCAAAAGATAGCTAAACTATGCTGTAAAATGTAGTAACCAGTGTGATATTATTACAATGGAGAAGATAGGTTTCTGACTTTCAAATCAGAAAATATCTCTCATCCCCATCCCCACCTAGCATGGTGCTGGGGATGGGGTAATGATGGGGCTACTTCTGCAGAAGTTGCTTCAACTGCAACATTCAGAGGAAGAGGAAGAGTATGAAAGTATAGTGTTCTTCACAGAGAGTAATGGGGTAACTCACTGGGGAAATCACTTAATTTAGTGATTAATTAAATCACTAAATTTAATTTAATAAAATTAAAATGAGGTTTCTGTTTCTCTAAGACTCTCTGAGAGTGCATTAGGAAGGTTTTGCTGGGCGTGAAAGCCCTGGGTCTTTATAGCAAATGCTTCCATGCTAAGCCCCAGAAGTTTGTTTCCCTTGACCACTCGGCACCAGGATGACAAGTGGGCTTCATCCTGAACTGAACTCTGTCCATGGCTGGTGCTAGGATTCTTATTTTCCTTTTGTTGTTATGGTCATTGTTTGAAAAGATTGCAAGGACAAGTCTGGGCTTGGTGACAAACATTGCCAAAATCAATTAGTGACATCTGCCATGGGCAAGGGAAGAAAGGAAAGTCAGCACAGGAGCTATTTTTTTTTTTTTTTTTTTTGCTATCCTGAGTCCAGCCTAAAAGATGCAGACCTCCAACCTTTTAAATTCAGCCGAGACCAGGCTGAATTATTAACAACATAACTTTTTTTTTTTTTAATTTAGGAATGGCAAAAGGGAAACAGACATAGAAAATGGCACTTGGCTAGGAAATTTTATTTGCCATCTCTGTTTTCCTCATGTTTTTGACACCTGTGGCAAAGCACTGTAGCCTGGCTCCTGACCAACAATCCATGAGTCATGGTTTTATGGATTTCTCACCACCCAGGAATCCTTGCAACAAGACTCAGACCTAAGAGAGAAGCCCAGGCAATAGTTTCACACTCTCTCTTTTAGGTCCTCCTTCTGAGTTCTGATTTTGTATGTGAGGCTCTTCTCTTCTGCCATGATTGACACAAAGAATGTCCCTAAGAGAGGATATCCCACCCTCATCTATAGTCATAGCCTTGCTCTGTGTTGATGGGATCTTAACCCAAGTCGTCCATTGATAAGTCAAGGTGATTAATGATCTTGGATGATAAAAATAAATGTTGATTTCAAGTAGAATTTAGCATTTTCTTCAATTACAAAAGTAGGAAACAAACCTCAGATGCAGTCATGGTACTTGAGACTTTGTTATTAATGAAAGTAACAGTTATTTTCATTACAGTTGTTGGAGGTATCTTGAAATAACATTCACATTCATCATTATTTGAAAGAATGTTGCTAGGTCTTGATGTGTTAAATAATGTGGCACATATTACATTACTATATTACTATAGCACGAACATTTTAATATATTTTTGTAATTGCATTTCAATGTTATTGGTTTCCTTTGCATTCCTATGCGTTTGATTGTACGCACTTATAAACATTCTGAGAAGGTATTTATAGAGTCACCACCACCAGATCAGGACACGAAACAGGCAAAGCCTCCTGGGCTGTCATAGGACAAGTATTTGGCTCTCTCCCTACCATCCAATATCCCTTGGTACTGAAAGAGAGATAACACAGGCACAGAGGGCTCTCCCCCTGCCTTTTTAGTCGGGGTGTAGGGGCGTGAAAAATTGGTATCTACTTTTCTTTACTGGTTGTTTATAAAACTGATGTTTGTTGAAAACTGGCAATTGTGACCATTTCTGCCTACATATTGTAGGGTGGCAGTTAAACACTGAAAACCCTTAGAAGCTTATTTCAGATGTACTCATTAATTGCAATAGTCCCAATTTTAATGTGTGAATTTCTCTCTTACACTTTTTTCATTTCTTCATGTTATAGTTTTTAGAGGGGATAAAAAAAGAAAACGTACTCTTATTCCCATAATTGAGCAGCTTGCATCGAAGAGAAGTGTCTACGTCCTCAGGCCTCTGTTCTAGATGAATTATTACTAGAAACAGGATATTTCATTTCTCCTCTTATTAAAAGTAGTGATTCCAACGTGAAAAGTTTACAAGACACATCCCAGTACCTTTACCCCTACCTTTACCCCGAATAAAAAAGAATCTGTAACACTTCACTCCAGAAGGTTCTAACTGGATTAGCGAATACGAATGTCTGTGAAGACTAGTGAAACGAGAAAGGTACGCAAGTTGCTCGAGGGTTTTGTGGGGGTTGTTTTGGAAAGGAGGTGAAGGAATGCAAAGTGTCGAGCCCTCAGCCTACGCTGGGGCGTGGGAGGACAGGTCCCGGTGCGAGGAAGGCCTCTCGGAAAGCAGCGCTGTGGGGACGAAGGTCGGGGCCAGGCCCAGGGCGGAGCCTCGGCGCCCCGACGCGGCGGCCCTGCCCGGGGAGGACGGGGCGGGGCGCAGCCGGCACAGCCGGGAAGTCGGCACCGCCCACGGCGCGGCCGGCCAGGCCCGAGCGAGGCGGCGTGCCGGCTTCCCGCGCCATGGGGCGGCTGGTGGGGCTGAGTGTGCTGGGGATGGCGCTGGCGCTGCTGGGCGAGAGGTTCCTGGCGCTCAGGTAGGTGGGGCTCCGCGCCCCTCCTCGCCGGTCCGCAGGCGGGGGTGGCCGCGGGCCGCGGAGAGGGCGCAGGCCGGTGGAGGGCTTCTCGGGACCGCGGCCCGGGATGAAGGACTCTTGGTTGCTCTCTGTTCCCCAGCTGCTTGAACCCCCATCACCTCCACCCTCAGCTTCTAGTAAAAACCAGCAGTGTTTGCAGTGAATCGCGACACTTTCTTGAAAGTTTGTAAGCAGCAAAAGCTTATAAAGAGAACTTTGCTGTTTATAAAGTTCTCTTCTGCCTAGGTTGACAAGCGAGTGGGCAGGCGCGTGCTTTGCAATTAATTACTCAAGGGGCCAACCTAGCGCTTTAACTCGAAAACAAGACTATTACTCATGCATCGAAACTTTAATTATAAAGATTTATTTCAGGTCACTGGTGCTGCTTCTCTTAGTTGGCTAAACCAGCTCTTCGCCCCGCCCTCCCCTTTAATGAAGTTCTTCCCTTCCTTCCCATCCTTCCTGCAGAGTTAGAAAAACTCTTTAGCGTTCTAATCTTGGCGCTGTAGATCAAAGACAATTGAAATACTCAGCTTCTGTTCTTACATCACTTCCTTATTTATTTGTTCACCAGGGAACCCTGGAGCCAGAATACCAAACAGTACAGCAGTACTCCGTCTCACATTTTAGTTACAGTGAAAAATCGCTGGTGGGTAGACATCATAGTTGCTAAATTACCAACTCAAATTTTATAAGCCTCATGCAAAAGAGTTCAGAAATGTTGAGCACCTACTATGTGTGATGTGCTATCTTAGGCTTTTGTAGTAGAGTAAGACCCTAATGGAGTTTACCCTATTATAGGGGAGGAGAGAAGTAAAATAACAGTATATGTACGAATTAGGGTGTCCTAAGGACAGGTACAAAGGAACACCTATAGGCTTCAAGAGGAAAGATTATATCCCCTGAAAGTGAAGTTCCAGAGGGAGGACAAGACGTTTGACATTGGCCTGGAAGGGGGGTGGGGTGGGCAGCATGTGGAGATGAAGGAGCCATCCCAGGTACAGCATGAGCAGCGTCAGCAAAGGGGCTAAGGTGGGGGAGTTTGGAGACCGGCAAATGCACCAATTTGCGGGAAACATAAAGTCAAGGGATGAGAGTAGTAGGGTTGGAAGAAGGATAGGTTTTGAGGCCGTTAAATATAGATTGAAAAATTGGACCCTACTTGGCCTAAGTCTTCCCCCAAAGCAACTGTATTGCTGGTTTTTTGTTTTGTTTTTTCAACAAGAACCTGATATAACTGGTTCTGCTTTATGGAGATGAACCTGGAAGGACGGACGTAAGTAGAGTAATGGTTCTCTGTACATTAGGATATCCTGAAGGGCCAGTGTCTGGCGACACCCCCAGCGACCCTGATTCAGTTGGTCTGGGTGGCCCCAGGCATTGGTATTTTTTATTTTTAAAACTTTTCCTAATAATTCTAATGTGCAATCAGGGTTGAGAACTATTAAAAATAGAGAGTAGATGCGGGGAAACTAGTTAAGATAATCCAGTAGTTTGGAGAGGATAACAGGGACCCAAACTCTGGAACTTCAGGGATGAGAGGCAGGTTAAAGGTGACACCAGAGTCTGTGTGACAGCTCCCCTGTCCCATACCTGTAGCTTCATCTGCCCATAAAGCAACACAAGGAGGAACAGTGTGGTGATGGTGGTGGGGGTAGAGTTGAGGAAAGAACACTTACGGGTAGGAAATGGACATTGGCTTAATTTTGATATTATGTAAATGCCCATCCTGCTGTGTAAAACATTCACAGGTTGGATGATTTTGTATGATCTATCCAGCTCTCAGTTTCAAAGACAAGACCACCAAAATTCACAAGTTCACTAAGTTATCACTAATGTTTAAACCACCAATGTCTCCATAAGTTGAAGTTTTCTCAATTAACAATCAATTTTTTCCTCTTCTTACTAATCATAACGTTTTATATTTAGGTCCCTTTGAATGATAAATATTATAGATGCAAACCTAAAAAAAAGTAAATAAGACTTAATGACCTAGAATGCAACCAATAGTTAATTTACAGTTTGAGGGAACTTTTCTTTACAAAGATTTGACTGCGATAAACTCCGCTGGGCAGTGACTGTATAGGGTAGGACTATATTGGATAATTGAAGCCCCAAATGGGTTGATGTGAGAATGTTGGGGTAGGTGGTAAGTGGCTAGATTTAGCAAATGAAAATGCAGGCTGCCCAGTTAATTTTGAATTTCACATAGACAGTGAGTCATTTTTTCATATAAGCATGGAATACTTATACTATACTTTTGGTGTAAGTATGGAAACTGAAAAATAATTATACTAAAATACCATTCATTTTTTATGTGAAATTAAAATTTAACTGGGCACCCTGTATTTTATCTGGTGACCACGTGATTGAAGAATACAAGTGCCTTCCATTTACAGAGTTTGTAGAGTACTACTCAAACGTATAATTTTTCTTTCAGATCCTTAGAGTCTATTTCAAAAGCAACATGTTCCCACCTGTTCAGAGGAAGGTGAAAGGACAGAGGCTTTATGTTAGATTTCTGCTTTAATTTGATGCCTACTATTTAATTATTCATTTTTTAGAGGTGGTAATTTGGCAGTCAAGTTATTTCTCTCCCCCAAGATGCCCACTTAAATTTCAACTTGATTTTCAGGTAAACAATGGATAATTTTTAGTATAAGTATGTCCCAGATGGATAAATGTCATCAAAGGTGTCTTTTTCCTTTTGAACTGTGCCTGGCGAGGTTCCCAGATGGCATTCCACAGTCACCTTTTCCACCCCTTCCTAGTTGAGCAATGAAAGAGAAAATAGAAATACACAAACATTCCCAGGCCATTTGTTCCCTGTTGCAAGGAACACAGCCTTGGATGAATTGTGAGACTTGAGTGCATCAGAGACCTAAGAGCAGGATCCCCCAAAGCATCTTCATGTTCTGCTTGATGCTGACACCTGTTATAACAGCTCTAACAAGTAGCTGTAGTCTGTCCTGGAACACTTGGAGGTGCAGTCTCTCTTTTTTTTTTTTTTTTAACCACCATCTTCCTTACCTTGTATTGTGTGACTGCTGTGTGCTGATCACTGTGTCAAAAGTGTAGAAAGTTCTTTATATTAAACCAGAATGCACATTTACTGACATTTGGAAAGAAAACCATTTTACTTTTATGCCTTCATTCAGTCTTCGTAGATATCTTCCTTTCTGTATTATACATGTAAATACTGCGGTTTGAGAGGTTAACTAATTAGGTCAGGAGTTAATTAATTAGTGCTGAGCCTGCACTGTCAGCCAGGTCTTCTGATTCCAAATACTCTTGCTTCTCTGCAGGTGGAGCAAATTTTCCCCAGGATAACCTGCCTAAGCACGAATTCTTAGTGAGTGCAAGGGGCCTACGGTGAATTCTAAAGGGCTCTTACATGTCTGTATGTAACAGATAAAGCTCCTAGTTGTATGTAAGTTTGCACACAGACGATAAGCCGCATTAGTTGTTCATAAACTCAAAGGCGGTGAGATATGGCACAAAGTAACTCCTGATAGTAACGCTGTGTTCCTCCTTTGCTCAGGACGTATTGGCACCATAGCATGGTGCACCGTTACTGCTACTCACCGTGAGACAAGATAGTAGCTAACAGCCCCCTGCCTCACTCCACTCTGGATGGGTACTGCTGTTTCCTGAATGAAAGAAATTGAAATTGATTTCATGCTAATGACTGTTGATTAAGAGTTCATGTTTTGTGGCCAGAATTCACTAATAGCTCCACTATTTACCTGAGACCTTGTACTAGTTATTTCACTTTCTCTGTGCCTCAGTGTCCTAACCTGTAGGATGGGGACTGCCTGTTCCATAGTGGGACTATGAGAAATAAACGAGTTCATTCATGTAAAGCAGCAGTCCCCAATCTTTTTGGCACCGGGGATCGGTTTCATGGAAGACAGTTTTTCACGGATGGGGGCTTTGGGGGGCGAGGACAGAACTTAGGCAGTGATGCGAGCGATGGGGAGCAGTGAAGCTTCTCTCGCTCTGCCTGTTGCTCACCTCCTGCTGTGTGCGCCCCTGCCCCTTCCTAAGTTTCATGGAAGACAATTTTTCACGGACAGGATAGGGATGGGGTGAGGCTGGCAGAGTTCTGCAAACCTGCCCGGGGGTTGCGGACCACAGGAAGTGCTTAGGACAATGAATGCCAGACACGTAGTTAGCCAGTAAAAGTTATTGATAGTAACAGTGATGCTCCAACAAGTTCTTTCAGACTTTTGTGCTATAAATCCCGTGGCAGGTTGGTAAAGCCTTGATTCCTTCTCAGCATTATGTTTTTATTATTTTTTATTAAGTATTTTTAGTTATTATGGGTACATCATAGTTGTATATCTTTATAGGGTACCTGTGATGTTTTGATGCAGGCATACAATAAGAATTAATCATATCAGGGTAATTGGGGTATCTGTCACCTCAAGGATTTAACATTTCTTTGTGTTAGGAATGTTCCAGTTCTACTCTTTTAGTTATTTTTAAAATATACTCTAACTTATTGTTGACCGTAGTCACTTTGTTGTGCTATCAAATATTGTTCATTCTAACTATAGGCTGTAGCAAAAGTAAAATGATTTTCCTCCTCTCATATCATCACTTATTTATACCATTTATCTTATACTTTTTTTGCTTGAATACTTTTAGGCTAATTGATCTGCTAATCCAAAAAGGTTGGTGTAGCTTTCTCTTGTAAATTTCTCAAAGTTTTAAAATCTGTCATCACTTGGGAATACTTTCAGCTGCAATTAACATATGTCAAATTAATGGTAGTTTATTTAAATAGGGATTTATATTTCTCAGATGACAAAAACTCTGTAGGCGAGCCAGTCAAGAACTTGTTGATTGAATCACTGACCTTATCAAGGAACTGGATTCTTCCTTAATTTTCATTCTTTGATCCTTCACTATTGATTTTACAGCCTTATTCTTATCAAGGATGCAGAATGGCTGCTGCAGTTTCCTGGACTGTATGTGTTCAAATCATGAAGAAAAGAGAATCGGTGATGCCAGCTAGCTCTCTTCTTGTGTCTGCCCTTCTGTCAGGAACAAAAATACCTTTCCCCAAAACTTGGGTCATGGGATTACACCTCAATGCAAAGGAGGCTGGGAAAGCAAATATTTGCCTTGCCTCCACCTCTGCAATGGGAGGAGCAAGGGAGAAAGGGGTGAGAATGCCTTCTGCTGCTGGAGTATAGAATAATGAATATATATAAGGAGCAGTGAACTGATAGTTCTGCCAGGGAAGAAGTCTAGCAGTTTTCCACTGAGGAAATTTGGAAGTCTTGATGGACCACAAAGGATTGAAACAAAATTCGTCTTTTTCTTTTATCCTAAAGGAAAGCCAAGAAAAAATTATTTGAATAAGTAGAAGTCATGCACAGCCCTTATATAACTCTTCAGTTTTAATAGCAGGTAGTCTGCATATCTAAAAGGTGATATTGTTCATCTAAACTAGTTAATGAAGATTGCCCTATTTAGCAAAATGCAATCATTGATCATTTATGCAAACCTAAGTTGACTCTGAAACAAATAACCCCATATTAAACTTTTCAAAGACATTGAATGTGTTACTTTGAACAGATTCTATTTAATCCATGTAATTTATCTTTGAATAAGATAGATGGTAATCATCATTAGCCCTATTTTTGTATAGTCAAATAGGCATAATAGTAGATTGTAAAAAATCGACACCCCAACTAATGCATGATACAGAAGCTTGATGTAGAAACTGCAGCTGTGACCTACTGCTTTGTATCTGTATCTGTTTCTGGAGTCATATAACATTGGTAGAACCTTGGAAGTCTTCTAGGTTCATCTTTATTTTATTCATAAAGAAGACTGAGGCCTATAGAGATTAACCAACCTGCCAAGGGTCGTGGCAGTCTTGCTGCTAAGACAAGAATGCAAAACTGTTCACTCCTTTCTGAGAGTAGTACAGAATGAATGAGAGTAAAAGCTGCCTCTGGTTAGTACCTAGTTCCAGCACTTCCTTGCTAAGGTGAATCTTGGGAAAATCACTTTGTCTTTGTCTCTCCAAAACAGTATCCTTATCTTTAAAATAGGGATAATGGTACCTTATTCATAGGGTTTTTAAAAGAATTAAATGAATTCATTGAGCTAAATCACTTAGAACAGTGGTAAATTATATCTCTTTTTATTATTTATTTCCTTTGACTACCCATTATTATCATCAGCATCATCTTTCCTCATCTTTATTACTTCTCCTACTGTATTAAGCCATATAAACTTTTTTCCCCTTTTAAGTTACTCCTGGGAAATGTAAGAGTGAGATTTATTGCATTTTTTGTTGCTTTATTTTTAT